ATCCAAATTATCTCTTCTGCTCTAGCTGAAATTCTTGGAAATCTTGCTTGCCTTACATTCTTCTTCATTTCATTCCTGTAAGTACTAAGTATTCTTTGTTCGCCGTTTGAATTATACAATCTTTCAACGGAGGCGAAACTATATAACATCTAATAGCTTGATCTATTATTATAACATCTTGAAAATTTACCCGATCTAAAATTGATTTCACATTATTTTAGTTGAGCTACTTCATTTACCTAAGACCCACTTACAGTGGCGACAATAATATTTCACCCATTCTCTACATTCTCACATGCTTATCTCTGATTCGGGGAACACGAGTGATCTAAAGTCGCAACATGGTCGGCTATGTGGAAAACATCCTATGGAAAATTTCCTATCAATATCTATAGCGAAATACCTTGTGGAATCTGCCGTGTGGAAAATGTTTTATCAGTATCTGTAGCGAAAAGATATAGGCACATACAAGTGTTAAGTCTGGTCGTGCGTTGCTTAAGGAGTTAAGAAAGTTAGATTGCATGAATCCCCTACCTTATCACAGCCCATCCCCACGTTCATAGAATTTAACTGATTACACTCCTTTATAAGCGAACGCGCATCACTTTTACGTGCTTATACATCTTTTTGCTGAATCGGGGAATCTGTAAATATTGCCTATTGGTATCTTCAAAACGGCTATTCCAGGAATCTATACTATAGCGTAAAAAACACATGTAAGTGCGAAGTCTGGTTGTGTGTTGCTTAAGAAGTTAAATAAGTTAAATTGCATTTCTGAATTTCATTGCAGTCTGTTCCCCATTTAAAGATTTAACTTATCCATTTAAACTTCTTTATAAGCCAACGCAAAATCACTTATATGTGTTAACATCTTCGCTGTGGATTCCCCGATTAGCGTATTTACCTTTTTAGCGATAGCCCATATATTGAATCGGTTCTGCTGCAGACGAAGTGTACCACCAACAATCATACCATTGAAGGCGTTGTTTGAAAGCGCGAGGCAATTTTTCGTCATGCATGGAATACGGGCAACGGTAGACATCTTCCACAGGAGTATCTTCGACTTGTTAGGCAATGACATCATCAATCAAGTATGAGAAGCCGCGTTGCGACTCTAGACTACCCAAGACACTATACAGGGGCCGTGAATTTAAACCAGAATATTGATAGACATTTTCTACATTTTTCAGCTAGTAACATCCGTTTTGGGACACCTTCTACCTCTTTCTCAGGCGCTATATGTGACATCTTGTATAGTTATTCTGAGCTATTGTTGTTCTTTGGGACGATGAAGTGTCAATAAGATTTATTTCGCCGCATTAACTGTCAATTCATTGGCAAAGATAGTGGACATGGTACTCGATAAGATCTGAGATTCCAATTTCTTGCGAAATATGGACAAAGGAAAGATCAGTGCATGAGCTTTCTTTAGGCGGAAAACAGTCAATGATTTGGTTAAAACCCGAGCTTGTTTTCTAAGAGGTTGGTATGATGAAGAGCCTAGCGCATTTAAGTTTCGGCATTTCCAGTTTGTCATGCAGATTTGAAAATTCCAATATCTGAACAGCCATTATTGTTGAACAAAACAGTAAAAGTAGGGAATCGGGCGCTTTCATTAATCGTTACCAAGAGAGTTCACAATGCAAAATCTCTTCATGTCTAACGGATTTCAACTTTCAGGAGAAAAAATTTGATGTGATTATTCATAACTTACTATAAGTTAAATAATACCTTCGTTGAATAATCACCTTTATATCGTGCATGTTAATTTGCATTTCGTGTTCGGACATGTTATGTCATGTTCTTTGCTTTCTACAGGATGTGTATGACTGTGTTACAATTATATATTGTATTAGGCGGACATGTAATATATCAGTAACATGCATACAAGATATGTAATATATCAACATACATATACAATAATATGTGTCTGATACGATATAAAGTTTAAATGTAATTTTCATGTAAAAATAAAAAAACTCAATACTCAATAGTGTCTCCTGTCTTCTTGGTTATATTAGTCTTTGAATGTATAGGAAATCATGCATGGAGTTAGAGACGTTCCCCACCTTCTGCCGTATCGAACCCAGGGCCGCAGAGAGGGGGGGCAGGGGGGGGGGAATTGCCCCGGGCCCCGAGATATCTGTTTTCTTGGGCTAAGTATCGAAATTTGGCATAAAGATATGAGATAAAGTCGCTGGAAAGCAATTGCAACGTACTCGTCCGGAAAAACTTTTTACTCCGGAAAAAATTTGTTACCGCTAAAATGGTAGACTGACCGAAAATTTTTTGTCCGGAAAAAATTTTTCCTGAAGAAATTTTTTGAAAAAATTTGCCCCGGGCCCCCGCCAACCTCTCGGCGGCCCTGATATTCGTACCAACACGATTTCTTTGTTTTCTGAGAACTAAAGCATGCACAGAACATTTTCTGACACCGCAATCATTTGGAATGATTTTGATTCGAACAGACTGTGAATATGATATCATAAGCACTGATGATGAAGATCCACGCTTACGGAACTAAAGCTTGGCAAAATAAATAATCGTGCATGGTGCTCCACAAAAATAAATTTATTTAATTCATCACAAAGTACATGCATTCTCAACTTGAGAAGTCGTTCATTCATGTATTTTTACACCGCTGAATAATCGAATTGTAAGAATTTGTTGTTAATAAAATAATAATACAATAAAATAATAATATACTAAAATAAATATAGTACAATAAAATAATAGTATATTAAAATATAAGAATAGTAATACAATAAAATAATAATACAATAAAATAATAATACAATAAAATAGTGATACAATAAGATAATAATATACTAAAATAATAATACAATAAAATAATACGCTTTTTGATAATGATACTATCTGCATTGTTAAAATTCCACGTTTCCTTGAATGTTGACTTACTGTGGCAATTCACATTGTCGAGGAATCAAATTTGGCTTCATAAAAACCGCTCGCATTTGCCCATTGTCACATGTTCGCCAATGTTACTGCGGTCAGTAAAGTGAGGTTCACTTTAGCGACAGAAAATAGTACAAGATATAGCGAGACTTTCGAAAAGCATCGAATTCCTTGGCTAAAAACATTAGTCATTGCAACGTCATAATGGTAGTATTGCAGTATTGCTATTGCTGTGGTATTTTACTGTAGATTACCCGAAAATTTTAAATCATCAAAAGAGGTTTAAGGTTGTCCCCGAGCAAAGCGGAAATGTCGAATACGAGCGCGAATGGCTTGCTGGGAATCGCTAAAAATTTCATTAATGTTTTAGCGATCCCAGCAAGCCTTTCGCGCTCGTATTCGACATTTCCGCTTTGCTCGGGACAACCTGAATTGAAATAGCTGTATAATGTAATGTGAAAACCTTATTTAATCAGGGTGACCATGTCAGAAGACAAGCTTCTTCATTGCATTATTTGTAGAAGGCGAGAGGATCCAGCTTGATTCATGTTCTATATTTCTCTATTCCTTCCTTATTAATAATACAGATATGCTGCAAAGAAAGAAGGCATGTTACGATGTTTCGTAACGCATCGAAAAAAAGAAAGGTTTTAATTTTAACATTTACTCACATTTAAATCCCTGAAATATTCATTGTAGTCCTAAAACAAAGATTACATAAATATTTTGTCAAAAATACTGGAAATTTCGTGACAGAATTGTTTTAAATTCCTTTTGTTTCGACATCTTCCAGGTTAATTTACTCTCAGCCCGACTTTAGCAACGCGATTATCCCGAAATTTCGAGTTCCCAGTATATAGGAAATTAAAATAATATTTTATTTTTTAGTCTGCGATAGCCAGTGGAACGAATATGACGGAACGCTACCTTCAGATAAACTGCCTATCTTTTTCTAGAAACGAAATCTGACCCGCGTCCCCCCCCCCCTCGCGATTCTCACGCGAGACGAGTTCAGGGAGCGAGCATGTCGTTTTAGTAAACTAAAATTAAAGTCTATACTAGGAAGTTTTACACGAATAAATGCACCAATAGAAAGAATAGAATTGTTTTCAGCGCTGTTAAAAACCTTTTTTCTAATTTTTAGCCGGTTTTCAAGAATACATATTCATGTTGACGGATTGAGCGCGCTCTTCGCATGCGTGAAAAGACTGGGACTGGCCTTCAAGTTTCGTTTCAAATTTCCGGTTGGAGGTAGCGTTCCAGTTCTATTCATTTCTCTGGCGATAGCAGACTGATTTCAGTCACCCCCTACGCAGACTAAGGCCTGTTTTATACGTCGAATTTCGGTCGCGTCGAATGCAATTCAAACAATAGATAATGAAGCTTAACGAGGTTTATCATCTCATTATTAGCCCGCGTGCAGGCCCAGGGAAGAATAGTGGGCCTGCAAGCAAGGCCCGGTATTTTGTAAAACGCCCCTTTTCATAACACGCCCCATTCGCGCGTCAATTGTCAAAAAAGACCAATGACAGCAATCCAAATATTAACAAACAAACTCGCATTAAAATGTTGGGGGGTTTTCTCTGCTCATTCAAAATAGAAACAATGTGTAAATGGCTGTGTTTTAACTCCAAAAAAGCAAGCAACGCAGTCAGTAATTGCCAAATTTGCAAGTGCTCATTTTCAACTATAATCGGAACAGGCAAATTAGGACGAATTTCAACAGAAAACCAGTCTCAAACTTCAAATCGTGAGGGAAGTCGTGCGACCACATTGTGTGCTTCGCTGTCGCCATTGTTATAAATAAATTGTCTCACTTATCAGAACGTGTGTGCAATTCTTGTTGGCAGCGGAAAGTACGAAATTTATTTCAGTTATTTCATTTGGTAAATAACTCTACAAAAGAAGAGAGCGTTCAGAGTCCAGATCGTTTCGTTTCAAACGGCAATTACCGTCTTCTGTTTCGCTCTCTCAGCGAAGCCTTGCAAATCGCAAGGTGTTTCGAATAGGCTTGCATGCATGCAACTGCCTCTAAATCTTCACCGCGAAAAGCGCTGTTTTCTTCAGTGCAAGAACAGAGTCAACATCGACCAAAAGATAATTTTCTTGAGGAACATAACGTATCAAGTCTGTTTGAAATTTAATAATGAAACTCAAGTAGCCTAAAAGTTACTATAGTTTACCCCAGTCGTAATGTTGCTTTTCCAACACTTCACGACAAGCAATCATTAGCATAACGGCAAAAACATCTCTTCCTTCAAGTAAACAATAAACAGTCTGTTCTTGTATCCATTTTTAATCGAAAAAGTGATCAATTTTCGAATTTTAAGCTTATCAAGAGCCTTTGTGATGAATCACTGACCTAATTATAGAATCCAACAGCAAACGACCAATCAGAATGCCGCGTTCGTGGGCGAACGCGGAAAGTACAAAATACCGGGCCTTGCTTGCAGGCCCACTATTCTTCCCTTGGGCCTGGACGCGGGCTATCTCATTATTTATTGTCTCAATTGCATTCGACGCGACCAAAATTCGACGTATAAAACAGGCCTAAGCTTTTTGTGAAAAACAAAAATACATGCACGTTTATTTATTTTCCAAAGCTTTTGCAAAGTTTTCATTTCATTAGTGTAAATAATACAATTATTATGAGAGATAAAGGCCCTGGCTTACGGACCGAACGCTTTGCAAGATACTCATGTATAAACATGGTTTTTCCACAAAACCGAATTGAAGTAGGCTATTCTGCAAGTTTCAAAATTACACAGACAATGCCTGAATGACAATGTTCTTACCAAGGCATAACCAACGACAAACTTATCAGGGATTTCGAATCCAATATCTGCAGGGAAAAAAACTCTAATTTTATTAAAGTGCCATTAACATGTGTAATATTTTGATCATTGTAAGAATTTTTAAATTCTTAAAAGAAAGGCAGCATATTTTCTTTGAAAAGACCCTCATCTTGGTGGCATTTTCACTGTAAAAGGTGCCAGATATGCCGACAATAAATGAATTCAAATTAATTTGCCTTCGCTTTCGTTGGTAAAATTAATCATGTTCAAAATATAGACATAACTTACAGAACAAGGGAAATTAACAGAATACAAAAGTCGCTTACAGTCAGGTCTATAGCTCGAGCTTCTCAGCGGTGTTCTTTTCACCAGCATACTAGAAAATATATAGCAAAGTATCAAATAAAAATCTTCTGATAAAGATTATTCTGGTATCATTTCCTAATTTATCAAGCCAATGAAAAAACCAGACGTGTTCAGTTGCTGTTTGATGCAATCCGAGCTAGACGCTGGGCATCTAATAGGGTGTAGATAAAACGCGGACGGCGGACCGCGGAACATTTTTATAAACACAAGATTACTACCGCAAAAGCCTAGACCTAGCGCCTTTACTCGGCGGGCGGCACTTGATTTGCAGGTTAATCGACTTCAATGACGTCATGAGGCGAGATGCTGTGTAAAAGCCTAGTAGATTTCCCAACGCTGCAGAACTCAAAATTATTGACAGTTTATTTACTTGGGAAAAGAATCTACTGCTTTGTTTTGAACAACTATTTTAGGTTGCCTAAATTTCGGAAAGGTTACAGTGTTTTTCATGGTCTTTAAAATGCGAGGTTGAGCAAGGTGTCAGACTCTTCGCTGCCTGAAATTCAATATGAACACAATGACATCAAATCGGTACCAAGGTATTCCAGTCTGCGGCGGGCAGACAATGCATTACAGAATCGATTTTAAAGCAAAAATTGCCTCGGACAAGACTCACCTGACGACTTTAACCTGAGCAGGTTTAAACTGTGAAATAACTTCGAGCAATTTTTTCATCGTCTTCCCAGTATCGATTATATCCTAGAAGAAAATATAAAGAAACGTTGGATCGAATCCATGTACATGCAGGCGCATGTAAGCTACATGCACTCTGGCTAAATATGCGGAAACGGCCATGCAAAATTTAACAATGCAAAAATGTAACATGCAAAATCTAACAATGTAATAAAGTAAATGCGCCATGCCTATGCAAAATCTAACATGCAAAATCTAACAATGTAATAAAGAAAATGCGTCATACATCCTTCCATGATACCGTTATACTTCATGATATACCGCCCGCTATCGCTATACTTCAAGCATGAATGAAATCGATCCTTCCATATGATATACCGCTATACTTCGTGTTAGAAACTAACCTCAACAATCAAAACATTCTAGAAATAGATAAAATAATTTTAAGATCCCACGATACTTTATTCAACCATTTCCATGTTAACATTATAATAACTATAATAATATATTCATCCAGCGTATATGAGCTATTCACCAATCTGATTGGTTGGGCCACTCGCCGTTCATGACATATACGATTATTATTATAGTTACTTTTTAACGCTAAATGCAGTTTAACGAGGCATGAGTGTCACCGTATTTTGGGCAATTCTATCACATTCCCAAGTTCCAATTCAAAAGTTCCCAAGCAAAAAAACAATTAAAAATAGAAACATCTATAGAAGTCTGGATAGTCAAGATCTTCTATATATGCGCGCATTTGTGATACTTTCTAACTTTCATTTAAGCAAGTTTAAACAAGGTAACATGGGGATGGTCTTCATAAAATATGATTGACTGGTTGATGATAGCACTACGACCCTACGCTCCTTCCAAGTTGTCAAGATTTATGTTAAATGAAAGATTTTTTCTGCACTTCACTTGGTTGAAACCATGTTGAGGCCATACACTTGTCTTAAAAAGCCACCAGAGTTATACATAAAGGTCAAGATCGTATTGTACCTTTCCTTTTACAGAAGACAGATCATCACCACCAATAATTTTAACATCATTTGTTGAACCATCGTTCTAAACATGGTATAAATAAGTATTATAGGACGCATTCCATCGACTTATTCAGAGAGACCAAAAATACTGCCTTGTTGAAGTTGGAAAAAGCTAGACGAAATATTTCGGATATGACTTCCTCCTAATTCCTGTCCCGAGCCCCAATGATTTCCCTTTTAATTTGATTGACGACACAAATAGAAAATACCCTTTCAAATGGGATGAAAATAAAATGACGTGTTCAATTTCTATCAAATGAAATATGTAGTTACCTCATAGCTTTTTAAACGTATGAAGTCAATCGAAAATGGAACTGAATGACCTGAAATGAAAGAATAAAGTCAGTTAACATGTAGTCTTGAAACTCATTCATCATAATTCCAGTTCACGAGCGAAACATTCCTGCAGAATTGCCCCCCCCCCCATGAGAGAATTCAGACTTTTAAAGACAAATGGTTTATATGAAAAGAATCATCATGGGACACCTTGCACTACCGTCCAGCATATACATGTAATCTGTGGTGGTAATCTGATATCAAAATGGGAAAGTAGTCAGGCCCAGGGAGCCACTTTGCCCCAGGGCCCCAATTCAAAAGGGACCCCCCAAAGCAACGATGATCCTTAAAATTTCTTGAATGGCTTAACTGAGAATATAAATCCCAGCTGCGTTAGTGCCGGGTAACATGCAATAAAGTGTAATATATTGTAAAACACGCTAAAACTCCGGTTTTACAATTATGATGTCATAGGAGCCCCTTGGGAAATCATAGGGGCCCTGGTTGTAGTATGTCTTGTACTTGTTGACAGATAAATAATATTGAGAGATATATTTAATTCAATTTTTTTGCCCCTAAAGTGTTAACATTTCCGAAGGTGACTACCATCTGTTGGTCGATAACTCTTACTGAATCTACCAATATATAAAAGGAGTGTCAAGATATTTTGGCCTTGAATGTACAGTAGGCACGCATTGAAACCATGAAAGCATACCTGAAGTCCCATTGTAATTTATTATAAATTCACTCAAATGGGAGAAGAATTGGTAACCCCCTTTCAAACAACACAACGCTACTAAAGGACCATGACATAAATCACGACAAATATCACGGGCTAAACGTTCAGTTCTGAAGAAAAAAAACAATAACACAAGAATCGATTATATACTGTCTGAAATGTCAAATCACTTGTAAGGGATTCTAGGACCAATTATATTATCGTTTATTTACAAAATTGAATGTTTATATACAAAATTGAAGAGAAGAGCGACGTTTGATTCGGGCCTAAATGCAGTAAAGTTGACGTTATTTGAGATTTTGCGAAAAGGGCAATAATTTTTCCGTGGGCAACTCGTGGCAACGAAAGAAAAAAATACCGCCTGGAATTCGTTTCACAATACAAGTTACACTAATACATGTTACGTCTCATCTTCAATTACGCATTAAAGTCCGGTCCATTTAAATCAAAGGCACGCAGAGGCTAAAATTGTGAATGTGGACGACAGGAAAGGTGAGATATGCCCTCTTTAGTTGTATAGCTAAACTCAATCTTCTGTGCAAAACGGAACCACGAAAAAATCTTGGGAAAAACCCTGCCATGATGATCTAGATGATGGTGCACCATGGCAAAAATCAGGAAAAGCGTATACTGACCTGTTAAGAATAAGTCCTTTAGGGATCATGACTGACTCCAAGTAATCTTCATAATGTTGAGGAATACAAAACATTTGTTTTGAAAACGTCTGGTCATCTTCTATCTACGAAAACAGCAAATAAATGTCAAATCAACCGTTTGCATAAACAGACCTGTTTCATACATCGAATTTTAATTCAGACAAAATGATTTCATAGCAAGCCATAGTGGATCACAAATTAAAAAATAAATGAGACATGATCAGAAATTTACATTAACATAATATAATTATAATACTTTAGTTTGTGGAAACATCACGCAAATTTATTACTGCAAAGCTTTCGATCCGTAAGCCCGGATCTTCATCAGTATAGATCCGGGCTTACGGATCGAAAGCTCTGCAGTAATAAATTTACGTGGTGTTTCCACAAACTAAAGTATTATATGTTTTATCGCCATGTGCAAACCTACAAAGAACTTATAATATAATTATGTAATTCAGTATACAGGTGTTACCTAACCCCAACCAAGACAACACAACACAACACAACACAACACAACACAATACAACACAACACAGTTAAAGGGTATAGGCCCCCTGAAATAACTATGGCTACGTTTACACTTGTACCGGATAGCTTTCAGTAGGCACGTGAAAAACACCTATCCGTACCTTTTAGGAACGTTATTTTCAGAGGAATTATTGCAACGGAGAGATGTTGTTTCGCTCAGGTTCTGAACGTTGTACCTGTGGCTGTACATTCCGTATCAGATAGGTGCTTTTTCATGCCGCTTATGCCGCTACGGAAAGCTATCCCGGTATACTGTAAACATAGCCTATAAGTATAGGTTAAATATCGAGAACGGAGCCTCCGTTCCAGGATTTATAGCATGATTGGCGAGGTTTTGTTCCCAAAACAGCTCGTACGCTTGTGGGACGTAATGAAACGCAGAATCTGGTTGAACATGCCCACTTTAAACGCTTTAATGTGGACGAGCATGCGCATTTTATCATGCAAGTCTGTTCGAGTGTGTGGTATTTCGGAACTAACCTTCGATACCAATGTGTTCTATGATCATGATCAAAACACACACAAAAATATCATGATCATAGAACACATGGACTAGTATCCCAAAGGTTGCGGGTTCGATTCCCACCGTGGTCAGGCTAACGTTTCAGCCTGCCCGGTGTGGATATACACTTAGAGTAACATGAAAAACATCATATTCACCTGAGTATACATAACATCAAAACACACACAAAAATATTATCTTTCAGTGTTTTGTTACAAGTACTGTATCCCAAAGTGGAGAGCAGTAATCAAAATAAGGTTGTATCAAAGCGCTATAAATTGATTGCAACATATTTGCAGGAATGTAGGGCTTGATGCGTTATAACGTTCCTATACCTACCCCAACTTTTTTGCAAATCGTTTCAATGTGTTTATCCCAACTTAGTGTCCCATCAAGTGTAACGCCCAAACAAGAGATAAATACTCTGGGAATCGGTTGGCTATCTAACGTTACTAGGAATATCATAGTTAATCTTATGAAGATTATGCTTTGAACCAACGTACATTACTTTGGTTTTGGTCGAATGATGCTGTAATTTGTTACTTGTTAGCCATTGGCTAATTTTATTCAAATTGCTATTCAAGTTGAAAATAAGTTCCACAGAATCCTTAGCGGATGAAATTATCTGTGTATCATCGGCATATAAGCACGTGCGTGGTTGTGTTATCAAGACTGTATCTGGGAGATCATGAAGTAAAAACAATAATGGCCCTAAGATGGATCTCTAAGGAACTCCACAGACTATCTTTTTGGGTGTTGACGTCGTGCCACTAGCCATTCCGAAGTTGATGAGTGGACTGGGAACGAGTGTTAAAAAGTGACCAAATTAAGAAATGAACTAAATCACTAAAGATCATCTCAAAATTAGTAAGTATACAAAGTTTGAAGACGTTTACATGAATACCCTTCGAATAATAAGCTCTCGAAAATTGTGATATTTACTATGAAATGTACTGTAATTTTTGTTTTTGGGGACGCGCGTCCCAAAAACAATCTTTTAATCAGTAACTTTACAATTTTCGAAAGCTTATTATTCGAAGGATATTCATGTAAACGTCTTCAAACTTTGTATACATTGCTTACTAATTGTGAGATGGTCTTTTTTGTGATTTGGTTCATTTCTTAATTTGGGCACTTTTTAACACTTGTCCCCAGTCCTCTCATTAACTTCGGAATGGCTGGCTAATTGACAAAACACACTTGTTCCCTATCAGAAATGTAGGATTCAAACCACTTTAATTCAATATTTTAAACTCCAAATTGATCTTTCATTTTGCGTAACAAGACATTAAGGTTAATTGGATCAAAGGCTCACCGAATATCAAGAAAAACCTGTTGCCTGTCTTCAGATTTCAAATTCGGTAATACCCATGCCTTTTTTCATTCTTCTACATAAATTCCACTTTTAATTGAGAAAGTTAAATATCCACGTATGAACTATAATTATTTCGGCTGAAATTTTAAGACCCGATTTTAAATTTATGTAACTGAAGAAATACTTCATGCACGTTAATTTCGAATATCTGACCAAGAAAACAATGATGGTGGCACAATAGACCTTTCCCCTTTTGAGTGAAATTTTGATCTAGACAAGTCTGGACAAATATTTCATCACAGCTTGAAAGAGCGTCACAAAATTAGTAATAATCCGAAGTTTCGTTGCGAAATGTTGTAAAATGCGGATAATATAGCCGCCTTGCGAAGGCCGAAGTTTGCCGTTTTTCAGTCATTTTGCATTACAAACGGGAAATTGATAATCAGATGATCAAACTGATTCATTAATTTCCCATTTGTAATGCAAAATGACTGAAAAACGGCATTTTACAACATTTCGCAACGAAACTTCGGAATATTACTAATTTTGTGGTGCTCTTTCAAGCTGTGATGAAATTTTTGTCTAGGCATATCTAGCTCAAAATTTCACTCATAAGGGGAAAGGTCTATTGGTTAGCAGGTATGCGATTATCACCTAGCTGGGTTTTAAACGTTTCAGATTATAATATTGCCTCAAAGGCATAGTGTATATGAGAAGAGTGCTTTAAGTCCTTTTCTCTGATTTAAGTTTGACTTTATCAAACACCATGGGTTTTCCCAGGTACTTAGTTTTCCTCCTGTCAGGCCTGTAAACTATAGCAATGAGTCAATTACCAAGTCAGTTGACATAAGAATTTTCGTGAAAAATTTAAGACTTCAAGTTAAAAAAAGACTGTAGTTTTCTCCCAGTAACTGAGAGCATCTGTTCTTGCTCCACAGTGATGTAACAAGTGGGAGGCTGCTGCATGTGCATGCACAAATGCAAGTACCGTACCACAAATGTGAGATAAACTAACTATAGAATTATAGCAATTGTGTCACTGTTTATAAGATTGATTTTTTGTTAAAACTGCTGTCAGAATGCAAGAAATAGCATTTCTATAAAGCCTGAGAAACTTTCTTTGGGAACATGCCTCGTATCCACCCTTAGACACTTACTCGATTAATGTAAAATCCTAGTTACGGGCATGCTTGTAGTAGTTAACACTGGACGTTAGGAGTAGGTAGGTAGGAGTTAGGTATAAATAAAGCCAGTTAATTGCCTGTGCAAATACAAGATAGTCACGCAACTAGAATAATACAGTAGCTATAATATATTGGATATATCAATGACTTTTGCAAAGTCCTTTTCAAACGATGCTTCCTAGCACCACTCCCAAATTTACTCACTCAGTAATAGCTAGGGAAAACTCTAAGGTATATTTATACACTGCAATACAATGAAAATTACTGCCGATGCCACAATTCTTCTTCATTTAGTTTATGAAAAATATGAAATGCATCCACATTATGGCATGCCTATTTGATTACATATGCCTGAATATGAATCATACACAACAAATTGCAGCATGTAAATATAGCTTTTAAATTAAAGAAATTAAATAATTGCAACCCTATTCCCACAATATCCTAAGCACTTATACAAGCCTATAATGCTGTGACAATTAAATAAGACAATAAGGTAACAATTTTAATATTTTATATTTATATATTTTTATATTTATATATTTTTATATATTTTTTTCTTTTTTTTATATTTTAATATTTTAATTTTAACAATTTTGGTTAATGGCCAATAAACTCAGCTTGAATGTAGCTAAAACTGAATTCATGTTGATTGGCTCAAAACGAATAAAAGATTCTCACCCAAATATTTTCATTGAAAACAAACAAATCAAGCAAGTTTATGAATGCAAAACTCTTGGAATAATAGTTGACCAACAGTTATCTTGGAAAAGTAATACTAAAAATATTTGCAAAAAAATAACAGCAGGAATCTCTGCTCTCCGTCGTTTGGCAAACCTTTTGTTGACAAAGATACACTCATTTCAATATACAACGCTATTGTTTGTCCACACTTCGATTATTGTTGTGAAGTGTGGGATGTATTAGGTAAAACTCAGTCTAAACGACTTCAAAAACTCCAAAATAGAGCCGCTCGAGTCATCATGAGTATGAGCAATGATACTGATTATTCTATTGCTTTACATGCCTTGGGCTGGGAGCCACTTAAGTTGATGAGAAAAAAGGCAAAAGCAAAACTGATGTACAAAACTTTGAATAAAATGGGTCCAGAGTCACTCACAAATCTTTTTACCTATAAAAGTGAGGTGACAAGTCACAAACTTCGGGGTATTTCCAGTGGTCTTTGTTTACCACAACCTCGAACTAATAATATGAAAAATAGTTTCATGTACGACGGTGCTCACATATGGAATTCTATTCCAAGCGAAATTAGGGGGTGCAAATCCTTATCATGTTTTCAAAATAAAATTGCTACTCACATTTTTAATTAAAACAAGAACCTAAAACAACCTTAAATATAAACCTGTAAATATATATAGATTTACTTAGATTTACTTAGATTTAGTTGATATTATCTTTTGTAATTAGCTTTTGTAAATATTCTTGTACTTTCTTATTGCACGCCCCCTGTGGAAATCAGCTTCGGTTGACAGGGTTAGCGTGGGTAAATAAAGTTTTTACTACTTACTACTACTTTTAGAATGGGTGTTTCCAGAAAAGATCCAAACTCCTCCTGCAGAGGACATTTTTGTCATCCAGATCGAGGGGAGGAGTAAAAATTCATCTCATAGTAAAATATTCTATTACATTTGCTGGGGGAAGGCATTAACTTTCATGCAATTTCCTCTGACCCAATGATTATGTCAAATATAAACCTAGCAAAGTGGACTAGGAACTTAATCTTGTGTTTGGGTTTGCATATTTCATGCCTGAACAAGAATTGATGGTGTCAGTCTACTGGTGTAAGGTTCAGGAAATATCTTGTTTCATTATAGCTGGGTTGTCAAGTCAATGCAGGACTGTACAAGTTCAATGACTTTAATAAGATACAGTCCACTACCATTGGTTCCTGTTGTGACTAATATTAATTAGAAACAGTATAGCTAGCTGCTAAATCAATCAAGGCCCAACACAACAAACCTACTGTATCCACAAGCATAGGCGTACGGGGCCGCTAAATTCTGGGGGGCGGTAGCTTTTTTGCCCAAAAAATTCCACATTGCCCAAAAAATTTTTTCCGGAAAAATTATTTTGGCGACCTCCCCCCCCCGTCGCCAAAAAAATTTCGGTCAGTGTACCATTTTAGGGGTCAAAAAAATTTTCCGGACAACCAATATTTTTCGGAACATAACACAAATTTTCCAAAAATCACAAAATTTGCCAAAAAATTTACTTAATTTTAGACAAAATTGACAGAATTTGTCCCATTTTTTTTAATTGCAAACCAAAATTGCCCGACTGTTGATCGAATATTGCCCGACTGCCCAAAAAACTGGGAAATTGCCCGACTGCCCAAGAAACTGGGGGGGCTACCGCCCCCCCCGCCCCGTACGCCTATGTCCACAAGTATTAGGGGAATATATGCAATGACCAAAAATATCAATATAAATGTCATGTAACCTAACACTGGATTTGGTATAATGGTATTAGATTGAGGTTTGGTTACGGTTGACCACAAGAAATTACAATGTGCCTGTTAGGGTAAATTTGAAAGATAATAAAATATAGTGATAGTAAAATATATAAATCTCTAACAAACCACAATCACAATACACTATATATATATAAATATTGTGATTAAGATCTTCATATTAATTAGAAATAGCGCAGCTGCTGAATCAACCACCCCCTAGTATTAGGGGGATATATGCAATGACCAAAAATATCAATTTAACTGTAACGGTGCATGTAACACTAGATTTGGTATAATTAAGTATTAGATTGGGGTTTGGTTGTGGTTAACCAGAAGAAATCACAATGTACGTGTTAGGGTAAATTTGGACAAGCAACATTGGGTTGAAATGGTGACATTAATTAATTAATTCACATAGTGAGAATAAAATAGCCATATGGTCCAAACAAATTGCCACACCAACATATTAAAAGAAGGTAGAAAACAATAGCAAAAACCTATAATTCAACCTTGATTTAAGTAAACTTAAACCAAGGTACTGTTGTACATTAAGCCCACCACACACGAGAGCTACTTGAATGCAAATGATTTTGTCAATTATATTGTTGTTGAGTAGTTTTCCCAACGTGTGCGGTGAAAATACATAGCTGAGCTAGCTGCCTCGTGAGGCGGTTAGCTCAGTAAGTTGCTCTTGTGTACGGCGGGCTTTACAATCCAAAAAAATGTTTGTACTATTGTGTACTTATCATCTGCATACCAAATGTTGAAAAATAATGACAGAAGATTTGGCACTTGGCAGTCACGCAACCTTAGTTTAATATAGCAGTTCTCAATGACTTTCCCAACACTGTCATCTATTCCATTTAATTAAGTTAAAACATAGTTGGAACACTTATCAAACCATTTTGTTAATCTAGAGCTTGAAATGTCCCCTGTAACAACTTGTGACTGCCACCTCTCACTCATTCAATTTATACATTTGTGATTTGCTAGGAGAAAAATCGCTTAATCGCCGACATATTAATATTTGCTAGTGCGAACCAGGCTTAAAAATACATATCTGAATCGTATAACACACAATTGCCTACATATCTAACAAAAGCAAAATACCTACTAAAGTTTGCAACCAAGTACAGGATAGAGATAAAATATACAGCCATAACTCCTACCTTTATATAGCCAGCCATGTTGAATCACAGCATAAACTTTGCTCAAAGATCAAATGTCAAATTAATGAAATTATGCAAAAATTGTGGCGGGAAATGGCGGGTAAAGTCCATTCATGGTTCCAGTACCAGTTCCATCTCACAAATAGTGTTTTCATTTGTTTTATTATCGGATATTATTTATTTGTTTTCATTTCTTGCGACATTCGCGGATGAATTGCGGTCATCGGCGACTAATGAAACCAGGCAAAAAAAACAAACTCGACCGTAAAGGTCCATACAGACCGGACGCGATTTGGCAACGCGACGGAATTTTCAATTTTCAATGACATTTAACTTCAATATTTTTCTATGTTTTTTAAATATTCGGAACCACTTAAGCAATTTTAGCTATTTGGTCTGCATATTTATCCGTTGACGGTTTTATTTGTTTTTAAAAACTGAAAATTCGCGTCGCGTTGTCGAATCGCGTTCGGTCTGTGGGTTTTAGCCTGCGAATGGGTATTAAAAACCAAACTTTTTCCGAGGAGGCTATAGTCACACGAAATATAAATATTAATTTCTGAGCGTAAGGGACCGGTCATTATTTACGGGGGGAGGGGGTAGCCCAGACGTTGCGCAGCCGAGGCCCACTAACGTCTGCGCAAGAGGCTAGGTGGGACCGAAGAGAAATGTTTTTGGTGGCAAAAATTTTGCTAACCCAACTATTAAAAAGTAAAAAATTTGATTACCCAACCTCAGATATCAATTAAAAAATAAATACCCACCCCTGGCCAAAAACTTTACAAAAAGATACCATTCAGTTGTCACAAATGTCCTTTACCACTTCTGTGACATGAGTTTGATAACGGATTGCGAAATTTTCTGCAGTCTAAAGTTTCATGTTGTCCAGGGGCGCCGGAGCCACGGTTGCCTAAACAGTGCGGGGGCAGCACGGGGGCAGCAGGTTGCCTTTTTAACAAAACTGCACTTCGAACGTCATGCGTTTTTCACATGAATTGAAATTGAAAACTGTTTTTAAACAATTTAGCTCATGCTTGAATCTGAATTCCTCTCAGAAACGTTACGAATCAGTTTCCACCTAACATGAAAAAAAGTAAAGAAGGAAGAAACCTTCCTAAATAACTTATAACTGTCATGTTGCTTTACAATACATTTTAGTCTTTAGTGTCATGCAACGAATAAACATTTTCCAATCTATGCCGAAATTTGTCTAACTGTATTAGGTACAAGTAATGAAGTATCCGTTATACAGCAAAATGTTAACGAATATTGCCCCCCTCCCCCGCACAAAAATTAAGGCTCAAGAGTAAGTGCCCTTTTTACATGGCTGCCCCCGCCGCTTCATGTTGCTTCCGGCGCCCCTGATGTTGTCTGCACATGTACTTTCTTTAGAGACACCATTTGTCTCCCAAAAATCGGGAAATGATCAACATAGTGACTCTGATTGATTCACATATTGTATTGACATGACTATTGACATTGCTTTATAGTCTCCAATATTTGAGTGAGTCGTGCTTTGGAAATGACAATAATTTTTGATTACCCAACCCTTGAGTTGTTTTGTTTTTCATTTACCCAACCTTTCACTCACTCAAAATTTTGTTTACCCAACCCTTTTCTCTCCCGTGCCACCCCCGCCATAAATAATGACCGATCCCTAATTTATTATGCAATACAGGGTGTCTCAAAAAAAGGAAACCTTTGGAAATTATCGTATTGTTATAATTTGAATCCCCGAGCACTATGCTGAACCCACGGGTGCGTAAAATATTGACAGGGCGCATATATTAAACTAGGGATCCAAGGATAGTGTGAAGTTTCAAATTGAAAACGATTCTGCAAGAACTATATAGGGTCGCTGACAACCTAGAAAAGCTGATGTCTTACACTACGAAATAAACAATCACCAACGGTATTTCATCTCATTATATATTGCTTTTAATGCGCTCGACACACGAGTAGTGTGACGTTTGAAACAAGCCTAACACATCAGAAACGTGTTTTGTGAAACTGATACAATTTATCTATTTATTGTGCCGCTACACGCGACAATTCGAAATTTCAATTGCAGCTGTCGCTAAAAGCATCCGCACAAGGCTACTGCAAACTTATAATTGAAATAGATGTATACGATATGTTATAAATAATAAGCACTACGTCGTTACATCATTGAAAGGAAGCATTTTATCTTCATCCGTTCCGTATTTTTTCGCATTTCCGTTCTGTGGTCCGCTCCATCCGCTTCCGCATTTTAACCTAATTGTGACATGTTTTACAATAACAAGTCCGCATTGACCTTTGACTTTTCTCAGTGTCACGTTGTGTCTATTTTTAACTTTTCGCATGTTTTGAATAATGTCACTTTAGATTTCAATAGTTTCACAGTTATAGCAGTGTTTAAAGCAGTTTTGACAAGCTTTGATACAGTTCTGTGTACAGAATACTACAGATTAATTCTCGTAAGATCCGGTAGAGTTAACGTTGCACTGAACACGAATTTGCACCGTTGATAACGGCGTTGTGCTAGACAGTAAACAAGGTCCCGACAGTACACGTTGGCTACATGTACCTCCTTGCCACAGAATAAGGATCTGTGTCCTTGCTTTTTTCTTCCATTGCATAAAGCTTGTTGGTGAGCCAAGCGATTGGCGATAACACGTTGGCGATAACATATTGGCTATCTCCTCGTCTTTCTTATTAAAATACGGAGCTCTGACTCAACTGATTTCCTTCGTCTCGCAATATTTTCTTCATAAACGCCTGTATGAACGCCCGCTTCTGTTTAATAGTTGTTGATGCTTTATTGATCTGATGCAATTTTTCGCTCTTTGACTGAGTGTACTATTCTGTGATGTGGCACCTTATACAGTCAAATAACAATGTATAATGAATACACGGTCTAAATAATATCGTCTATCGATGGGCACTTAATTGAACGCCGGTAACTGATACTCATCAATTTATATATCATATTATTGCGTAGAATCTCAAAGATTTTCTCAATATTCATGTCTGAAATGTTTATATATTTGAAAAACAACACTGTCTCGCTTCTTCGTACATACTGTACCCTTGTATAATGAGTATACCGTGAAAATAATATCAGCACTCAATTGAATGCCTAGAATCTCAAAGATTTTCGGCTCAATATTTACGTCTGATTGGTCTGAAATGTTTATACACTTGAGTCTTAAATGCACTGTCTAGGCGATCTAGCTCCTTCCTAGCTCTGTATAATGAATATACCGCCTAAATATTATCGACACTTATTAATTGAACGGCCGTAATGCATAAAATCAATTTATATATTGCGTAGATTTTCAAAGATTTACTCAATATTCACGTCTGAAATGTTTATACATCTGAAAACAACACTGTCACTCCTTCCTAGCATATCGTCACGCCATCGTGTTCTACGGCTTGATAGCGCATGCGCATTTGCGCTACTAAAGAAAAATCGGGTGTTCCGGGGTAAAGATCCTTTACACAACATGAGAAGCGAATGTTCTAAAATTTACAAAGAATTACAATAACGAAAGCGATTGCTCGAAATTTTTGTGAACTTGGTAAAAGGATAACAGAATATGTAAATAAGTTAACTGAAATTGCCTAAATAACCTTCAAAGTACTGACTAAGCACAATAAATCACTACGAACATAAATCGTACACGCCCCCCGGAAAGTTTACTGTATGACTGAATGACTGAATGACTGACTGTTTCGTTTGAATTTTTCCCCACCATCACAATACTGTGAAGTTTCGAAGAAACTTCACACTAAAAAGGAGATCGTTAGAAATTAAAATATCCTTGTTAAGTCCAAGATTTTCTGCTCCTGGGAATTTAAAATAGCTTCTAATAGCATAAAGGAGAATAACTACACAAAAATGGTCAAATTACAAATTAGTCATACTATCAATTCGAGTACAGATGGTTCAACTGACCACAGAGCAACGAGTTTTTACTGCTTTAAGCCCGCCACACACGAGCGCACTTGTCTCCTCGTGTGCGGGCAACATTTACGGCATTTTCGTCATTCGTGACATGTAAACCAAATATCAAACATGTATTCTCGTGTGCGGCGAGCAAACGACAAGCGCGCTTAAATAGGAAAATTTGAGCATGCGTGCAACTTGCAGAATTAAAAACAAGACACGAGCTCGTGATTTTGATTCGCCAAAATGTAAGTTTGCGTGAATAGTTAAAGGTCTTAACCTGAAGCAAATTGTCTGAAATTTCGTAAAACACCCAACACATTTTTCACCCATTAACTCATATACACGTTAATGTATATATACATAAATACGATTAAAGCTTTTAAATCTCGTGCGCAAGCCATTTTTAGTTTGTTGGAAAAATAACCCCGGTTTACAAAATTTGAGTTAGAGAATTTTTTTCCATTATTCTACATGAAAAGTACTAATAGTTGTTTTGCGAAATTGAGAGCAATTTCAAATCTGTTCAGTTTTTTTTTTATACACCCTGTATATGGTTCAGTATACAGGGTGTCTAAAAAAACGCTATGGAAATTCAACAGGCTGTCGTGCATCATAAACGTGGCTAAATAATTCAATTTTTACATAGGAAGAAAGAACAGTCAATTAGCTTTTGAATGATACACTTTTTAAATCGTAACGATGAGAAATGGCCACATACTCGTCAAATAAAAATTGCCGGTCGAAATCACATTCTTCCACCGTTGAGAATTGCATGGAGAACGAAACATAAACAATTCCCAAGAGGAAATTAAAATTGAATGTTAAATTATCTAAAATAAGCTCAACTCGTCAATCTTCGTCTTAGTGAGATCACAAGAACATCCATTATTGCATTAAACATGGTTCATTAACCCCATGAACAGAGAACATTCGTAATCAAAACGTTTTACGAAACAAGTCCCTTGCAGCAGACTCGCGGTGCTTTGGGATTGATTAACTTTGCATAATTAATTATTTTCAACTCCCAACGGTGGAAAAATGTGATTTCGACCGAAAATTTTTATTTGACGAGTATATGCATGGCCATTTCTCATCTTTACGGTTTAGGAAATATATCATAGAAAAACTAAATAACAGCTCTTTCGTCCTATGTAAAAATTGAATTGTTTAGTTAATTTGTGATGCACAACAGCCTGTTGAATTTCCATAGCGTTTTTTTACCTGACACCCTGTAGATAGAATTCTATGTCTTCTATGGTTGAGCTATTAAACCTGCAGCCATGGTTCTACAGTTCTATGGATCTACAGTACTTTCGTTCTATGGTTCTATAGTTATATGATGGTTATACAGTTCTATACTTCTACAGTGCTATATGGTCCTATAGTTCTAATGGTTCTACAGTTCTATGGTTCTATAGTTATATGGTGCTACAGTTCTACAGTTCTACAGAACGGTTCTACAGTTCTATGGTTCTACAGTTATATGGTTCTACAGTTCTACAGTACGGTTCTACAGTTCTATGGTTCTACAGTTCTATGGTTCTATAGTTCTATGGTTCTACAGTTCTATGGTTCTACTGACTGCAGTTCTACAATTCAGCAAAATAAATAAACGCGGTCTTTCCACAAAAATAAACTTATTAATTTATTAATTTATTAGACCACTAACTAATCAAATTGTAAGGACTTGTTATAAAGATATAAAAGTAATATGCATGCATGATACCATCTGACAGTATCTTTCGAAATTCTACGCATTCTGTAGAGCATTTTAAGATCATGAACAAAGATAAATAATATGCATATATACAAACATGTATATAGGTGAGTTATTTGTTGAGTAAAGCTATTGGTATAGCGTATATAGGCATGCATTGTTACAATTCCACGTTTCCTTGAATGTTTACTTAGAAATTAGCATTGCTGAGGAATCAGATTTGGCTTCATAAAATCTCGCATTTGCCCAATAATGACATGTCATCTGGTTCGCCAATGTTACTACAGTCAGTAAAGTGAGGTTCACTTTAGCGACAGAAAAGTGACATCAACGACAGAGCTACTTGAGAATGCCCAAGACAAGGCATTTGCGAGACTTTGGAAAAGCAATTCAAAATTCCTTCTCCTTCACTATAAAAAAATCAGTCATTGCAACGTCATATTACTGGTGCGGTATTTCACTGTTGATTACCCGAAAATTTCAAATCATCAAAAGGTCGAGGTTTCCAGCAAGGAAACTATATAATCCAGCTTGATTCATGTCCTATATTTCTCTATTCCTTCCTTATTAATAACACAGATATGCTGTAAAGAAAGAAGGCACAATATATATACAATGTGATAATCGCAAAACGCATCGAAAATAAATAAAGATTTCAATTTTAACATTTATACTCACATTTAAATCTCTGAAATATTCATTGTAGTCCTAAAACAAAGATTACATAAAATATTAGTAGAAAACATTGAACTTTTGTGACAGAATTGTTTTAAATTACTTTTGTTTGGACATCTTTCAGGTTAGCTTGAATCTATCCAGCAATTAACGCGAAATGTCGGGCTCCAAGTATAGCCAATTCAGAAAAGGTTGTCCTTTGCAAACCTTAATAAGCTTATAAACTCTAAACCTTAGACTCCAAGCGCGAAAAGCTTAATGTGAGCAGTTGAGCACAAGTTTCAAGCTTAGTAGTTGAATATTGCAGCTATTTGTGAATGAATTGTTCTCGTAAGGAGATATTTACCATGTCTCTAAGAAATGGGCCCCATATATGATTTCTAAACTGGTTAAATGATGCTCCCATTATGCTTTGCACGCTTAGAGTTTAGCGAGTTTAAGGTTTAAGCCCGGTGTCACAGGAGATTCGCCCCCCCAGGAGATTCGCCCCCCCGGGGCGAATCTCCTAGGAATATCGCCCCCCTTTAGGAATTTCGCCCCCCCATATAAAATTTGAATTTTTGATCTAAAAACAAAACGATTGCAAGTTGAAAAGATTTATTGTGCGATTTATTTATTTATTACAAGGAGACAAAATTATATACACCTTTTAGGCTTCTTAGCAACTGGTGGTGTGCACAGTCTGCATAACCACTCATTTGAGGTACTTAGACTAGTGTCATATTCTACACATCTAAAGTGGAACCATCACAGAGATCGCATAAAATCATGTTGTCGTATTCTTCTGGCAGTTTACATTCACATAACATATTATAAAAACAATCGCTTGCAAATTTTATCAATACGAGTGTTAACAATAGCCGCCACAGTAATCACTTGCTAACAATAAACTATAGGATTAGTAAAAAATCTATGGAATGTGTTGGGAAGCGTATTGATTATTGTCCGTTGAATCGTCAACTTTCCATGTCAGTGATGTAATCTTGGTTCTTCACTTCCGCAAAGAAAATTGCATTATATATGTGGTGTGGTTTATTCAAATAATTTCATGATACTTTGATTTTATTAGTGCATGCCTTAAACATTTGAGAATTAACTCTGCAAAACTAAAAGCTTTCTTGTCTTTTTTGAAACGTATATTATTGGATTATTGCCTATTGGCAAGTTCTACCCTTCGCTTCTGAGATTTACAAACTATATTGAAATAATGCAAGTAAAAAATAGTGACAAACCATACATTTTCCGATAACGACAAAACGTGGATGCAAAACAATACCAATAATTACAATAACCACCACGGTGATTACTTTTTAACAATGAGTTTAAGGATTAACACTGAAAATGCAAAATATGCATGGTGTGCTGTGAAGCGTCATAAGTCCTATTGATCTACTGTAACTGTCTAAGCCCTTTCGATACATGTAATTGTAAATTTGTATTCTTACATGCAGGGCTTGAAATAACGTTCCCAAAGTTCCCGATCATGGTGATCGGCAGTCGTGACTTTCCCTGATTTTTTCAGGTTGGAAACCGAAACCCTGCTTTTCCGCCGATCATAAGCAATTCCTTGCCGATCATTGATCGGTGATCGGTTGTTATTTCAAGCTCTGTCAAACAATTTTGAATTGATACTGATTTCAAATGATTAAAGTCGTGTAATAATTATCCCATGCAACTGTTAGGAAGGGCGAAATTTTGAACGGAGGACGAAAATCCTAAAGAAAAGGTGAAGTTTCTAAAGGGGGGTGAATTTCCTAAAGGGGGGCGAAATTCCTAGGATTTTCGCCCCCCTGGGGGGGCGATATTCCTAGGAAATTCGCCCCCCGGGGGGCGAAAATGTAGGGGGGGCGAAAATCCTGGGACACCGGTTCACACTAGCAATTCTGACGGCGAATTTTCTTCTCTTTGGCAAATGTGATCGAATGAATGACATGCAAAAAGACTTACGCCCGTATTCTAAAAGCTCACTCACACTCACACTCAATGAGTGGAATTTCAATCTGAGCTTCTCTCGAGTGTCATTGCTGTTTTTGAATAGCTGGAGGGCTAGTGTCATACCTTACTATATGACTACCCACCCTCCAGCATTGACACTCAAGAGAAGCTCAGATTGAACCTCCACTCATTGAGTGTGAGTGAGCTTTTAGAATACGGGCGTTAGAATTGTTGACTTCTGAAAAGCGACTCTATACTTTTGTGTGTGAGTTCACTCATTTGCATCCGTCAGAAACACAAAATCGCCGACAAAATTGCTAGTGTGAAACAATGGGAAATGACCATCCTGCTTTGCGCGTACTGTTTGCCTGATTTGGCAAAAGAAGCACGACAAACTGGCAAAATTTGCACGGTGCCCGTTTGCAAAAACAACTGCAAACTGCTTAATTCCTTCAGTCACTTTCATTTGATCTCATCCGTGAGTCGGCCTCAACGGCCTTTGATTTGAATTAGCTATATACAGGAAATTAAAATAATAAAAAAATAGTTTTTGTAGTCTGCGATGGCCGATTGATCTCAGCCGCCCCCTCCACCGCTGCTCCCGGACTAATCGCAGACTAAGCTTTTTCCGAAAAACAAAAACACATGAACGTTTATTTGGTTTCCAAAGCTTTTGCGAAGTTTTCATTCATTATAGTGTAAATAATCTAATTATTACGATAGATTATATATACGATAAAAACACTGGGCCTGTCTTACGGCTTGAACGCTTTGCAGAATATGCGGTATAAACATGTTTTTTCCCCACAAAACCGAATTGAAGTAGGCTATATTCTGCAAGTTTCAAAATTACACAGACAATGACAATGTTCTTACAATGGCATAACCAACGACAAATCTATCAGGGACTTCGAATCCAATATCTACAGGAAGAAAAAGTTAAGTTAAACTCGAATTTTAAAGTGCCATTAACCCCACCCAAATATGACTTCACAATAGGTATGGTCGTATGGATAATATATTTGGATCATTTTAAGAATTTAAGAAATGTGACAAATATTGTCTTTGAAAAGACCCTCATCTTGGCGACAATTGAACTTTAGGTGGCGGATATGCCGTCAATAAATGAATTGCAATTTAATTTGTCTAATCGTTTTCGCTCTCATTTGTAAAATTCATCAAATGACATCATATCCGGTAACTTTGACAGTGATGAGATTTTTTTACTATCTAGCTACAAATATATATTAGGGACGGACCATTTGATTTTCATGAGGGGAGGGGTGCAAATTCGAAAAAAATAATATCGAGTATATCCTTGGTGAATAATATCGAGCATTGCCAACATCAAAGAAAAAATATCGACCGTAGTAAACAACAAAATCGAAAACTAGTATTCTGACGTTATGCGCGAGGGTTTTGCCTGTTAAAAATAAAAAAAAATGTGCACGCGCAAAGTTCAGAAAAAACATCGTGCAGAGCTTGAGGCTAGAAAAAAATCGAGCACTTTCAAAAAGGCGACTCCCCACATAAAAAATCAAATGGTCGGTCCCTTACATTTTTTCTCAAAATGATCCAAATATTGCAGATACAGAGATACAATACTGTAGTACCAAAAAATGGCAAAAATTATATTTGGGGGTAAGTATCATTGACACACTGTATACATGCACTACGTACACAGGAGCCCACCTCGGGGCTTACAGTATTATAACATTACGTATATGATTACATATGGAAATATATGGTTCAGTGTAGAGTGTACGCCATTTGAGTAACGTCATTCAAAGCCCTTTTCATTCTTTAACTTTTGCTTAGTATCCTTTGCATATATTCAATAAAATTCGAAATTATCGCTTCGAAATGTTCAAAATTATATAACTACAGTGAAGCACGCAATTAGAAAAGCCTGCACGGAAATTTAAATGCATAATTAGCGCGGGTTTTTAAAAATGAAGTTGACAGTATATTAAATGAGACACCAGTTAATAAAAACGTTAACAAAGTTATAATAAAGTTAATAAAGTAGCCGTTGTTTCACTGTAGTCATTTTGCAGCTCGTGTTTTTTACGCTTTCTGAAAGTCGAGCAACATCCCAAGTACATGGATGACGCTATGCTGCACGGGAAACCATTTGGTATTCCTTTAGTACTTACAGTCAGGTCTATAGCTCGAGCTTCTCAGTGGTGTTCTCTTGACCAGCAAGCTAAAAAATATATAGCCATGCAAGTATCAAGCACCAATGACAAAAATGGCTGGGCAATCCAAGCACCAATGACAAAAACGGCTGAACAACCCAAGCACCAATAACAAAAACAGCTGGGCAATCCAAGCACCAATGACAAAAACGGCTGGTAAACCCAAGCACCAATGACAAAAACGGCTGGGCAACCCAGCCCCATTGTACACATGTTTGCAACGCAGGCTACAAATATTACAGCATCGAATTTAATGCAAAGATTATGGAGGACACGTTCCGATTTGACTTCCACCACCGCTACCACTGCTTCTAACTGGATTGCTTAATCGAATATATCAAACGCATCTGTTTGGTCGATGGTCCCTTAATGGTAGCGGTAGTGTATAAGTCAAATCTGGACCTCTATATTGGCTGGGCAACCCAAGCACCAATGACAAAAACAGCTGGGCAATCCAAGCACCAATGACAAAAACGGCTGGGAAACCCAAGCACCAATGACAAAAACGGCTGGGCAACCCAGCCCCATTGTACACATGTTTGCAACGCAGGCTACAAATATTACAGCATCGAATTTAATGCAAAGATTATGGAGGACACGTTCAGATTTGACCTCCACTACCGCTACCACTGCCTCTAACTGGATTGGTTAATCGAATATATCAAACGCATCTGATTGGTCGATGGTCCCTTAATGGTAGTGGTAGTGTACAAGTCAAATCTGGACCTCTATATTGCCTCGGACAAAACTTCAACTCACCTGACGACTTTAACCTGAGCAGGTTTATACTGTGAAACAACTTCGAGCATTTTTTCCATCGTCCTCCCAGTATCTATTATATCCTGGAGGAAAATATAAAGAAACGTTGGATCAAACCAATAAATAGGCGCATGTAAGCTACACTCTGGCTACATATGAGGAAGCGGCCATGCCTATGCCATGGAAATAATTTGATGTTACTACAATATTAAAATCTAACAATGTAAGTGAAGTAAATGCGCCATGCATGCGCGATCCTAATATACATGATTAAAGGAATACCGAATGGTTTTCCGTGCAGGATTGCGTGATCCATGCACGAGGGATGTCGCGAGACTTTCGGAAAGCGTAAAAATACTCGAGCCGCAGGCGAGTGTATTTTTACGCTTTCTGAAAGTCGAGCAACATCCCAAGTACATGGATCACGCTATCCTGCTTAGAAAACCATTTGGTAATTGTTTTATAAAATAACTACAGTGAAACAATGACATTTTGAGAATCCCGCGAAGGTATTTTAATTCCTCATGCAGGATAGCATGATCCTGCACGGCTATTGACCAATCAAATTGCGTGTTTCACTGTAGTTATTATATAAAGCCTGATCCTGCACGGCTATTGACCAATCAAATTGCGTGTTTCACTGTAATTATTATATAAACCGTTATACTTCCTGATAGTCTGATATACAACTATCGCTATACCAACCTCCGTCGCAGGGACTTTCCACCGGCTGTCGCTATACTTCAATTATCGCTATACTTCAACTTATCGCTATACTTCAACTATCGCTATACTTCAACCATCGCTATACTTCAAACATCTTGCCGTCAGGTTACACGTTCGAAGTAGACGTTTTTACGCGAGAGAGGCTGTTTTCAGGTGGGTAGTTTCCTTCAAGGTTTTCATGCATTTTTTGTTCTTTTTCTCGCGTATAAACATGGCAATTATGTTTACTGTCACTATGACTTTCTTTCTTGCATAAAATAAGGATAGGTAACTGCTATCTTTGACTGAAATATTGTGTCGAATTCAGTGGATGTCAATAAGCAAAAGACGGGCAAAAACATAGCCCAAAAGCATAGCTGATTCACTGATAGGAATGTTCGGTATGAGAAATTTCCGGTATCGGTATACCGAAAAAATTATACCGATATTATCGGTATACCGGCTTTCCTTTGATAATTATAAAGGAAAATTCTTTAATGGAAATTTGAAGGAAATTTTGAGTAATTCTAAAAGGGAAAACGATAATTTCGAAGCTGTTTCGAACATGTTTCGAACGACACGTACTCAGTGTAAAATCTCATGGAGTGGAAATTCTAAATCATTGCAGTAGAAAGTTCTCTGAATTGCCATTCAGTAGTAAATAAAGGTTATGGTTTCGCCATATAGTTGATAAATTTAACACGATATACCGAAAAATTCCGGTATATCGGAAATTTCGGTATATCGGTATGGTTGAATATCCGGTATCGATACACCGATATTGATTTAATACCGATATTTTCGGTATATCGGTATACCGAACAGTCCTAGATTCACATTGTTTTTGTTGTTATTTGTTTAATTTTCTCATAATTCTGAGATTTAAAGTTTTACTCTTAGGCTAATTTTGTTGCAAATTTTATAAAAATCTGTTTGTATCTAATACAGAACTTGGAATAATATCATGACCACGAAACCCTTTCGTTGGCCAAGCATACAACATGATCTTGCATTGGCTGGGGAGGTTGCAAGCTGCTGACCACAAAAGCCAATGCAATGGATTGGGATGCTATTGCCCACCGATTAAGTTCACATTTTGGAAATTAAAACCTTAAATCTAAATCGTTTTTAAAATCCGAACCGCAAACGTGTAACGGGTACCTCGACTATACTGGTTTGCAGTTTGCCGTAATTAAAACGAACGTCAATCTAAAACTCTCTATTGAAGCAAACTTACCTCAACAATCAAAACATTCTAAAATAAATAAAAAAGAATTTTAAAATACTGCGATACTTTATTCAACCATCTCTATGACATATGTTGATGTTAATAACTAATATTATTAGTTAATTAATACTTTTCAATAACAAGTGCAGTTCTTAAAGAGGCATGAGTGTCACCGTCCCTGCGGCTCGTCCAATTTTGGCAAAATTTCCAAACATCACTCGTACTATATTAATCCCTAATTGTACTCGCCATCGCATGATTACCTATACTAATTCCTGATTACCTATACTAATTCCTGATCACACTAACCAGATTATTATGGTAAGAAGTGAGATAAGTTAACCAGGAAAATTAACCAGGAATATTAAGTTAACACAAATAGGGTTATTTCTAGGTTAACCTGATTAAAGAAATGATTATATGGGCTCAACTCCGGGATGGATCCAGCATGATCTGGTAGGGGGGGGGGGTGCTCTGCCAGCTCTGGTGCCGAGTTGTGTCGATCATGTGTGCCGCCTGCCCATCAACTTGCTTCACTATTGCAAAGTCTTGCTTGACTACAGTATTTGAATTGTAATTGTTGTTCACAGTTCACTTATCATGTTATTACTCAAATTACTGTATCTCATTTTGACTCTAATAATTTTTTGCTTTATCATGAAAAATAGCACCTCCCCCCCCGCACCCCCTCTGGCCAGGGCTAGGGAGGTGCGCACCTCACCCAGTAAATCCATCCCTGGCTCAACTGGTGAAACATTTAATGCCACCTGGCTTACACATGTCTTAGAAAGCCTGAGTTCAAGTTCAAGATCGTATTGTACCTTTCCTTTTATAGACGACAGATCACTACCACCAACAATTTTAACATCATTTGTTGAACCATCGTTCTAAACATGGTATAAATAAGTATTATAGGATACAGTTATTCAGAGAGACCAAAAATACTGCCTTACTTTGTTGGAAAAAGCTGGACGAAATATTTCGGATATGACTTCCTCCTAATTCCTGTCCCGAGCCCCAATGATTTCCCATTTAAACTGGTCGCATGACGAGTAAGGATACAAATAGAAAACACCCTTTCAAATGGGATGAAAATAAAATAAAATGACGTGTTCAATTTCTATCCAGTGAAATATGTAATTACCTCATAACTTTTTAAACGTATGAAGTCAATCGAAAATGGAACTGAATGACCTGAAATCAAAGAATAAAGTCAGTTAACATGTGGAACAAGTCTATAATGAAGATAATATTAGTAGTCTTGAAACCATTCATAATTCCAGTTCACGAGCAAAACATAGCGGGGGCTAGAGCCAATTTCTCCCTGCAGAATCCGCCCTAGGAGAATTCAGACTTTCAAAGAATGTTGTCAGCTAAAATCTAGGCCAAAATGTATCAAGACACCTTTGAAATTTGCACAAATCTATCCAAAATGTACATTTACTTTTTAAATGTACATACAGTACTGCATCTTCTTTCCCGATTGTTAATATGCTTTACTATACACTTGATATTTGTGACAACTCATATTCCACATTGGTTTCGGCGGAGGGGGGCATTTATATGAAAAGAATCACCATGGGACGCCTATGCTGTGTACGTGGGTTTCACGAAGCATGCACTATATATCGTTCCGAAGTTCGCAAATTCGTTTCAAAGTTCTTATTGAAATTTTTATTTACAAGCCGGTCTGTAAATTAAGCCTCTGATATTATTATGAATTTTGTTTGGAACTTCGCAATGAAATTTGCGAACCGAAGAACAAACTTCGGAACATTTTGGCAAACGTTTCGTGATATCGACTGTAAGTAGATGGTACTGGTAGTAATCTGACAGTAATCAAAATGGGAAAATAATAATGTTAATTCTTTTCATTATTTGTTGTAGTAACTCTTGTATTTGATGACAGATAATTATAAAATAACATGTATATAACGCGTGTTCTGATTGGTCGAAACCCGTGTTTGGATCAGGCCATCCAAACACGGAAGACTATCGTGTTGTTATTATTTTATAAAACAATTACTTTATGGTTTCCGTGTTTGGATGGCCTGATCCAAACACTTGGGAATGTTGCTCGAGTTAAGAAAAGCGGGCAAAATCACTCGCCTTCGGCTCGTGTTTCGCTCGCTTTTCTTAACTCTCGCAACATTCCCGCGTGTTTGGATCAGGCCATCCAAACACGGAAACCATAAAGTAATTGTATAATACCATGGGTATCTTATATAAACTAGATAGCGCATCTCTTTTAGTAAAATTGAAGCCAAGAATATTCCAGCGGTTACCCCCATTTGAATAGAAGGCGGCCATGTTGGAGATTCCCACTCGCTAATAAACGCTTAAAAAACAACAATAACTTTCATCATTTGAATAGTTTGAAAATGTATTTGAAATAGGTTTAACTTAATGTCTAAGTTCCCTGTTTAAGAAATAGAAAACATACGAGTCTTCTCATTTCATGGGAACATTGCAGAATAATTAGATGCACTATCTGGTGTATATAAGATATCTATGATAAGTACCAGTAATATCGAGATATATATTTTGTTCAATTTTTTTTCTCCTAAAAGTGCTAACATTTCTAACTACCATGTAGATGCACACTGAAACCATGAAAACATACCTGAAGTCCCATTGTAATTTATTATAAATTCACTCAAATGGGAGAAGAATTGGTAACCCCCTTTCAAACAACACAAGGCTACTAAAGGACCATGACATAAATCACGACAAATATCACGGGCTAAACGTTCAGTTCTGAAAAACAGTAACACAAGAATCTATTACTGAAATCAGTATATACTGATTTCAGTATATATTAATTTCAGTATATAATCATTATATACTGTAAGGGATTCGAGCACCAATCACATTGCAATCATATTATATTCTTGTTTATTCACAAAATAAAAATTGAATTTTTTTTCTGGACATTGGATTGACCAAAATACATAGAGAATAATACATGGTGCGCGGAAATACCAGATTTATTTCGAGTACACGAGAAATAAATCTGGTATTTCCAAGCACCCATGTATTTTTCTGTTTATTATATAAACAAAATTGAAAAACAATAAAACATCCATGCGTTTTACAACAAGTTCTCTGATTGGTCAAACATATTTCCTACGCGATTTTTGATTGGCTTGCAAAAATGATATTTTCACACGTAAAAATATCGTATTTTTACGTGTGTTTAAATACGATTTTTCTCAGTGGCCAAAAGCTCTATATAACACTTATGTTTATATAATAGAGTACTGTATTTATTGACATTGTCCAACAATTGTTAAAAATCACCAGGCCTGTAGTATCAGTATACAGTACTTGTCCTGTTAATTGTTTTGTTATCAAGGTCATGTGAACGACATTGAAAGTCAACATGTTGCAAGATACATACATTGTATTAAATTGTACTATTTGTTCAAACGCCATAATTTTTGACAAAGCTAGAAAACACTTTACAATACGTGGTTTGTTGTGCTTGTTTATGAAAGACTGACATGATAATTTGTAAAATTCTTAACCATTTCAAACAAGCTTTGTTCATGACGGACAGAATGTGTCAGACACGTCACTTTTCTTCCAGGTTTTCTACAATGTCTGTAATGTGCACAACCTGCATGCAGTGTTTCGTGTTCTTTAGGGCATGGCAATATTTTTTCCGTGGGCAACTCAGCAATGAAAGAAAAAACACAGCCTGCAATTCGTTTCAGAATACAAGAAAAACCATGAACGCATGTTACATCTCATCTTCAACGCATTCCAGTCCTGACCATTCAGGTCAAAGGCACGTAGAGGCTAAAATTGTGATGATGGAAAAAAAAGTGAAATCTCAGAAATCAGGAAGAGTAATACTGACCTGTTAAGAATAAGTCCTTTAGGGATCAAGACTGACTCCAAGTAATCTTCATAATGTTGAGGAATACAAAACATTTCTTTTGAAAACGTCTGGCCATCTTCTATCTATGAAAACAGCAAATAAATGTAAAATCAACCGCTGCATAATCAGACCTGCATGTTTACAAATTAAGAAATAGATGAGACATATGGTCCGAAATTACATTAACATAATATTATTATATAAGCCTGAAACAATATTGTTCTCCACGGTTTTCCTGGTTGTCTCAACAACGCAACATCTACTTATTTGGTTAAGAATTGTTCAAAATTGTTTTTGTGACTTTTCCTGTTCCTTATCTTAATATTAAAAGCCTAACCGTAACCCCCCCTCCATTTTTTTAGCCTTTGTGGCGACGTCAATGTTCGACGTTGGTATCATACAAAGATGAAAAAAGTATGGGAATTCCCAAAATATTTTTGAGATCTACATTTTTGCAGAAATTTTCACAAACATTATTTATGTTTGATAGCTATAAATTCTGAAAATTACACTGATTGAAAATCTAATTGCTAAATACCTGATTATTGAAATGATTAGAATCAGTACGTAATTAATCTACTAACTTGGTGCCTAAATTACTGCGGAACAGTTTCATAAAAAATATTCATATAGCCTGCTGTAGTCCTGTATTACTTTACGATTTATGACTACATTTTCCACCTCTGGGTAAATACATGGCTTTCATCAGGTTCCAGTTCAGTGCACATGGAGACATAGTCTTATCAAGGTATGATGGTCTGGCAACTAAACAGAAGTCATTGTTTGATGTTTTTGTCGGAGTTTATGTTAATTTGTGCACGGTCACGGTGATTGAGATCATTGTATTTTCGTATAATGAAGTATTTATTTATTTAATTTTTTTTATTTATTAAATAAGAAATAAACCGTCCAATAGGGATAGCCGAGATGAAAGTGCAACCAGGATGAATAATATTTAATGAAGTTGAAACAAAGGATTTGTGTACGGCAAGGTACAGTCACAGAATAAAGTGTAACTTCCATTACAGAATAAAGTGTAACTTCACAGAATAAAGTGTAACTTCCATTACAAAACCGTAAGGCGCTTTTTTACCGAAATAGCTGGCGGCCATGTTCTTAATAGCAAGTGCCCTAAAGAGAGGCATTCACCCCCCTGGAATATTAAATTTTCAATATGTTTTCAGGGGGTGACTGCCTCTATTTAGGGCACTTGCTAAGAACATGGCGGACTGAAAAAATCCCTTACGCGAAATTAACCTGAAGTGAGATCTCTGTATGTACTTCCTCTGTGGTACAGTTCAACATCAAACAAAGATCTTCTATTTTGTGGCTTTGAAGATTGCTGGGCTTCCAGACCATGATATCTTGACAGACTATGATGGAGAGCATTTAAACAGAAGGATCTTATTAGAATCTTATTATTTGCCCTCCATCTGCGTTTGTATTAAAGCCTCAGGGGATTGCTTGGAACCCACCTATAGCACTGTCTTGCAATACGAAGTTGAAAATGAAAATTTCACATTTTCAATACTACACGCTTCCGCAATTAATACTGCACAGAGTGTAATAATACTGCATCCTAAAATAGGCCCTGTGAAGAGGCGACATTCAAAGATATTTGAACAGGTATGGAAATCACTGATATTCTATTCAGTAAAAATAACAAAGGACCAAGAGACAGATCCCTGTGGAATCCCACAAGTTATAGGCAAAGCAGCAAATTTTGCATTTTTAACATACCACAGTACATGAAAACGGTCAATGAGATAAGATGTAAACCAGTCTTAAACTATTCCTCTTATACGATAAAATTCAAGTATTTTACGCTTAATTGTATCTACAAATTCCTTAAGAAAATGAAAGGAAATCCCACATGAGAAATATCGTCAATTGTTGATTGAATTTTATCATTAATTGCTAAGATAGTATGATTGTCGAATGATTTATAGTAGACACAAATAAGAGTGCTCAATCCACATATTACCGTTCTAACTTTAAAAATCATCTTTTAAAGCATAACAAAATATTATAATTGTCTGTTTTTGGTACATGCATAAAACATGCACTGGAAGAGAATTTGGAATGGTATTTAAAGTATCGATCGGCTATCGTAAAAATAACTGATCCGAAACAAATAAAAATATCTTACGTGTAATTAATTTTTAATGCCTGAGGTCTCAAAAACTTTTTTCAAAAACATACATTTCGTTTACATACATTTGTGTGCGTATTATTACAATACATGGGTATAACCTAGTATAATATGGTACGGAATTTGATATAGTATGGTATGGTAAGGTATTTTGCATGTCAGGTGTGGTATGGTAAGGTATGGGGGTTGTCAGCACATTGACAAGAATGTTGGATGTGGGCAAGTTTGTTGGAGGTGTCTCTAAATGAAAGATACACTTGTATGTTGCATTCAGATTGGAAATACCAATCATATGCTAAATATGTAAGATAAAAAATGTAATTGCTGTAAATGAACGGAAGTATCTGCGTTTGGAGGTGGTATAAAAGGTGGCCAAGGCTAGTTGACGATCTAGCCTTGTAAGACAAATGAGCAAACAGCTGTGGCAAAACAGCAAAAAACGTAATAATAGGGCTAATCATAGTAGCAATAGGAGTTTGTCATGACAATTCTGCCAAGGCAGATCTCCAGAAACGGTCAGTCCCTTCAAGTACATAACCACCCTTATGTAGTTAATTAAAGAGGTAGTGCCTTGGCAGATTGCCATGGACACTTGACTCCATTGACTGACCGCAACGTACCACCAGCACCTACCATGGCCCATGGGGGGGAAGGGAGAGGGTTAACGGAGGGTCGGGTTAAGAACAAACCAAACACAAACCAGATTAGCATAATATTTATATTCATTTTAACATAACACCCTAGTTACACTAGCTAATAAATTAGGCGGCGTTCGTCTGTATGCCAGGTAAGCTGAACTGTGTTGCACTTTTCTGTCTTACATCGCAAGACAGTTGCGCTTCGTGGGGACTGTATACCATCAGAACAATACCATCAGAAATAGAACACACACACGTACTTTAAAACATATTTATTTAAAACTATTCAAACGATAAAATACACTAACATAACAATCCTTCTGGGTTTTCTCTCGTGCGTTCAGTCTGACAATCAACTCGAAGTCTATCATTCATGACATACGATACATTTTGTTGTCCTACGGCGTTATCAATAATATAGTGTTACAAATTATTCTACAAACTGCTCCATCGTCCTATTAAAGGTCTGGATCATATGCTCGGGAACGCCAGCCAGGCCTGCTGTAGCAGCAGCGCCAATCCGGAAACTATGACCAGCCTGGCTCAGCAGTCGGCGCAGTTATACCAGCCTGGCTCAGCAGTCGGCGCAGACGCTCTGTAAAAACTGTACGTGTCAGGGGGGCGCCATTGGAACGGCCGAACAGAAGGCCGTTGGCACCTCCTCGGATCTCCAGGTAGCTGAGTAGCGATTCGACCGGACACAAGAGAGAACGGCCCTGATCCAGAGTGCTCCCTTGCCGAAAGGGATCGGTTTTAGATACTTTGATAAACACTTGAAGACAAGACGAGTCGACTCTTCGGTCAAAGGCAACATTTGATAATTGATAATTTAATAAAATACCGATTTGTAACCTATTAGGTTAAATTACATCAGTAAAAAGTCTCATTATACTACAATAGAATATCTAGATGCATAAAATTATTCATAACTTCAGTTGAAAAAGTTATAGAGTTCAAATTTAAAAATATTAAAATTATGGTCTATTCATATGTGAAACCATCTGTGGAAAAAACGATTTCATAAATCTGTCCGTTTTACAACTATAGTTATTATAATCGCTTCCATAACGTGTATTATAGTTATGTTCAAGTTTAGGCGGTAAGAGGTCACCCAATTTGTCTCCATGTGCATTTTTAACAAAAAAACGTTCGCATAATAATCGCCGCCGATCTTTCAGTAAGGGTATACCAGTAATACTGCAAGCTTCTCTATAAGTAGCGAATGGCAAGACAATACGCAGAGCCCGCTTCTGGAGTTTTTCGATATCTTCACTTAGGTATTCTGTAATATTGAAGTGCCAAACTTGGCAGGCATATTCGAGTACTGGTCTGATAATGGTGCAGTATACCAAAATTAGAATGCTATTGTCGGCATTTGATCGTTTTAACAACCTTAGCATATAAAGGCGTTTTCCCGCTTTTTTAACAATATGGTTCACATGCTCGTTCCATTTCAAATCATCTTGGATTGAGAGACCAAGAATTCGGGCAGATTTTACCCGCTCAATACCAACGTTATTTATAGTTAACGGTAAAAACTCATGTTTTTCTCTTGCAAAGTCAATTACCATTTCCTTACATTTGCCGATGTTGAGCTTCATATTATTAACTTCACACCAATTATAGATAACATTCACTAGATCTTGTAGTTCACTACTCTCAGTTGATGTAACTCGTTCAGCAAACGTACTGTCATCAACATACTTCCATCTATCGCTCCAATCAATAAGAAGATCATTTATCATAACAAGGAACAAAGCCGGCCCTAACACCGACCCTTGCGGCACTCCACCGTTTAACGTTTGCCAGTCCGAATGACAGTTAGCCAACTTGACTCGTTGTTTACGATCAGAGAGAAAACTTCTAATCCAATTTATAATGGTTTGGGAAACACTCATTTGTTGTAGCTTATTCACCAGTATGTTGTGATCTATTCGATCAAAAGCTTTTTCAAAATCAAGCAAGAATACTCTCACCGCATTGCTTGAAGCATCTGTAGCACTCAGGAGGTGATGGATCAGGCTCAGTAGGGCATGGGTAGCCGAGGAATTTTTAACGGAGCCAAACTGCCGCGTATCAATCTTTGCACCAATTGACTTAAGTAACCAGTCTGTAACAAACCGTTCGCAAATTTTGGATAAAGTGGTGGTAAGTGAGATAGGGCGCAAATCTTTAGAAATGTCTTTAGGGACTGATTTTTTTGGAACAGGGATAACGTTCGCTTTTTTCCACATTGAGGGTACAACTGCTTCTTGAATCGAAGCGTTGAAAATCGATGCCACAGGGGAAGAAAGAACGTATGCATAAGATTTAAGCACCCAATTAGGTATTCCGTCAGGACCAGGTGATTTGGAAACGGGGATGGCGGACAATTTACAGTATACATCTTTTTCTTCGATAATAAACTGTGGAAGGATACTTGTACTGCCATTTTCAATTAGGTCATCAACTGGAGACTTATTCAAGGGAGGAATATCTTGGGTAGATGAGACAAAAACATCATTGATTTTATCTGCTAACTCTTTACCAGCAAAAACCTGGTTGTTTACAACGAAATTAGAGAATGTTTTGTTCTTGGCGAAACCCGCAAGCTGTTTTATACATTGCCACCATTTTTTAGCATTGGGGTTTAGTTTTAACTCATCCATCTTTTTCTTAAGGAAGGTTGACTTGAGTCTCTTACTTTCTCTATTGGCAAGATTTCTCAATCTACGATATAGCAGACTTTTGCCCTGACGAAACGCTCTTTGTCTATTTTCTATAATTTTCTTAAATCCGACTGTAACCCATGGTTTATCATGATCGTGCAACTTTACAATTTTACTAGGGAAAAAACAGTCCAAACCAGTATTTATAACTGTTTGAAAAAATCTAACTTTTGTTCACATGATTCAGCGCGGTACAAGTTGTTCCAGTTTATATCAGCTAGCCACTTACCGAATGCTCTCCTGTCATGATTGTTACCTTGTCTAGTTTTCACTTTTGATGTACCATATTTAGCTGTATTTTTATTAAAGGACCACAGTATGGAATTATGGTCACTTTGGCCGACAGGGGGTAATAACACCGGAGAGTTACAACAGGAAGTCATATTTGTCAAAATTAAGTCCAATGTGGAATTTCCTCTTGTGGGTTCTTTAACTATCTGTTTCAAAGTAAAATGACGTAGTAGGGAGGAAATTGGGCATTTATTAAAGTCTCCAATGAGAAAAATACCAGCGTTGGGGTACAATATAAGAGCAGCGTCAAGTTTAGATGTTAGGTGATCGATTAAGGCACAGTTATCATTGGAGGGAGGGTGATAGACCACACAGATAATCAGGCAGGAAAAGCCACGGAAAAGTTTATTTGGTCTCAGGTAAAGCCAGAGTGATTCAAAATTGTCTTCATGCAAATCTGTTAAGATTTTAAAAGGAATCTGGTCTTTAATATAAGCACAAACGCCACCCCCGATACGATAAGTGAAGCGATGGAGAATAGGAAGTGCCACGAGGTACAGTAAACTCGGATGATCGCAAGAAACCAAAATATACCAGACAACAAGCGGCTCAGAACAAAACGTCATCGTAAACCAAGCAGCGATAGATCGCGCTAAGAATGTCTGGTGTAATTGGAAGGCGCCTATCTTGAGAGCCGCCTTTGCAACGTTTGATGCCCTTTGCCACAAACGTAGACAGCCCACTAAGAGATCAGGATAACCATGTTCAATATGGAGTGCTCGGACAGCTGACAAGTAGACTTTTATGGACGCAGGTTTCAAGTTATTCGCCAACCACGTAGCGAAAAGGCAAAAGGCGACCCATTCGAGTTCAAGCGATTTTCTGATTCACAAAATTGCAGAAATGACCGTTGGACAGAAGCGTAGGTTTTATGGGTTGACGACGCTAAACTGTGACGAAGAAAACTATGGCATTGGGTTTCTAGGTCCGTGGCGACAACTGATGCAGTAGGGTTGCTGGAAGAGGCGTTGGTAGCGATGAGCAATTGGGGGCTAACTGACGAAACACTTGCCAATTGGGATTAGCTACGCCTGGGATATGACGCGCTGCAAACGTAAAACTATAACGGGCCGCCACCCTATAGCAGAGAACGCAGCAAGGCCATTAATGATGTGAGTGTCACGGGAAGTGCGCGAGTTCAAAATATGGACTACGGAAGAATTATCTAAATGAAAGCACACGCGTCGATTGGCCCATTGGACACCCACAAGTGAGCAGCATTACAACAGGAAAAAATTCCTTGTAGGTGATGATTGAACCACTGTGATGGTATACGGCGCCATATCCAATGGAACCCGCGGCATCAGATGTAATCAACAGATCGACAAATGGCAGTCCAGGTAATAGGAAAAGGTTTGTACCATTCCACTCCTCAATGAACTGGATCCACCACTGTAAATCTGATCGACACTCCACGTTAAGAAGATGGGGTGGTACGGGTGGCGAAAAACGCAAAGAAGATTAATCATTCGGCGCAAAAGGTACGATCAGGCCAAACCACATGGTATGCATGGTGCAGTTTCCCAATCAGTGACTCTAGCTGCGTAAGTGTGCACCATCGTTACTGTTGCCATTCTTTCAGGAACTGCTTGAGAGCTTCTAACTTATCCTTGGGTAGACGCGCAATTTGGAGGATGGAATCTAATCCCATTCCCAAGACAATTAAACAGGTAGTAGGACCGTTCGTTTTATCGGGGTGTAAAGGAACGCCCAAACGGAGGAGGCCATCGCCAGATTATGCGCACATCGAGGGAGATGAGGTGGATCGGCTGTAATGTAGTCGCTGAAGTAGTGCATAAGGTCGGCGATTGCGTATTTATTATGCAAAATCCATTCTATCGCATCCGCAATGGCATTGAAAATGAATGGCGCTGAACGTTAACCGAACGGAAGGGCAAGATCTACGTATAACTTTCCCCGCCACTTCATGCCAAGCAAATGACGTTGAGACGGCAGTACAGCTAAGTTACGATATGCGCTTTGGACGTCAAACTTAGCCATGAGTGCACCCCGACCCACATTGGTGACCATGGCAACGACTTCATCGAAATTTATATGCTGCAGAGAGAATTGTTCGGGGTCAATACCATCTTTAACACTACGCCCGTGTGGCGACGACAAATCCAAAATCAAACGCCACTTTCCTGGTTGACCAGCCTTGGGGATCACGCCAAAACTGCTAACGTGCAGTGGGCTGCTAGGTAAACGACCGGCTACCCGTCCCAAAGCGACTTCGTTCTGCAGGTACGCATCCACGATCTCAGGATGGGCAGTTGCTGAAGCTTTATTTTTTCGTGCAGAGGTTACAGGAAACTGGGGGCAAAAAGCAATATCAAAGCCGTGGGCAATCCCACTGAGAACATAATCCACTTTGGAACGATCCGGATGGGACTGGAGTTCGCAGGCAAATTGATGCAAATTAAGAGGAGAAACCACAGAAACGGGAGGGAGAATGTCTCTGGCGTCAGATAAACGAGCATTAACACCACTAAACATACCATCAGCTGGATGAACGCTTTGGTAATTTGCGGTCTGCGATTCCAAATTGTCAGGGAGAGAATTCTCAGCGAGGTTATTTGCTGGATGAGACGAGGACTGCACAGCGTTGTTTGCGACTGCTGCGGTTGACGAGACGGACAAACGAGCATCAATGGTGGACTGAACAAGGCCTTTCAAGCTACCTTGAAGGCTGAAGCGCTTGGACCATGTCGTTGACGATGTTAGCGACTGGTAAAAAACCCGCATTGTTCGTTTGCATCGCTGACACGTGCGAATTGGTCACTGGCGCGCTTGTATTCGACGGCGGACAAGAGGAGCTAATGCTAGCGATATCGTTGCTCGTTTCCATACTATTTCTAGTTAGCCGAGGCATGTTGATTAATTTAAATTAAAGTAACAAGTAATAATAACACGCAATAGCAACAATTCTTTTAACAGAGCAGAGCAGAGCGAAATAGCAGTTGTTGCTGGCTAGCCAAGCTGTAGCAAAGTGACAAATGCGCGAGAATTGCCACTGTTCTGAGTGACGTCAGGGACTCCACGCTGCAAGGTCGCAGGCATGATACATCTGCCGTTAACTTCGCTTAAACTACGTTTAATCACATATAAACAAGTGTTGCTGAACACCTGGGATCCTACTCATGAATGAAGACAGCGAAGACCAATCTATAGTTCGTGCATCAAAGAGAGGCTTCAAAGGTTCTGCTGTCCATGTAGCAGAATTTATATTATTTTCATTGTCTACATGCAAATGAGGGGTATTAGTTATAGTAGTTAGCTGTGTATGCATGATCTTATCACCTAATTGGGTTTTAAAAGTTTCAGATTATAATATTGCCTCAAAGGCATAGAAGGATATTACCACAAACACCTTTTATAGCATGCACCTGAACATGTTGGACCAAGAATATTTGTAATTCTTAAGATTGGACTACAATTGTGAGATAAACTAACCATAGAATTAGAGTCATTGTGTCACTGTTTATTAGATTTTTGTCTTAAAACTGTTGTCAGAATGCAGGAAATAGCATTTCTAAGCCTGACAAACGTTCTGGGGCATACTGTCTCGACCAACCAACACTTGACTCAATGAATGTAAAATCCTAGTTAACACTGGTATAGCTAACTGTAGGAATAAATATAATTAGGTATAAATTAATAAAATTACTGTAGTTTAGACCTTAGGCCTTTTTTTATACGTCGAATTTCATTAATAATGCATTCGACGTGACCAAAATTGACGTATAAAACAGGCCTTAGACCCATTTGCCTGTGTACATAGACATTAAAATAGTCATGCAACTAGGATAATAGCTATGATAATAATTATTGGACATTATTGACTTTTGCAAAGTCCTTTTGAAATGATGCCTGCTAACCCTCAAATTTACTCACTTGCTATTAATTAATTAATAGCTAGGGAAAACTCCAAGGTGGAGTTGTTGCAAGTCTGAAGGTATACGTTTATACACTTTGATTTGTTTTGTACGATTTGTATTGTGGTGTATGAAAATTACTGCTGATGCAACAATTCCCCTTCATTTAGTTCATGGAAAATTTGAAATGCATCCACATTACAGCTTGCTTATTTGATTACACATGCCAGAATACAAATCGTACACAACAAATTGCAGCATGTAAACATAGTTTAAAGAAATTAAAGAATTGTAACCCTTATATTCCCACAGTATCCTAAGCACTTAAGAAACATAATTACAGTAGATATACACATGCCTGCAATGGTGACAAATGTGCAAGGTAACACTTTCAGAAAGGGTATTTTACACCAAGATCCAAACTCTACCTGCACAGGAAATCTCTGCCATCTGCATGGGAGGAATAGTAATTCACCTCATAGTAAAATGTACTATAACATTTGTTGGGGGAAGGTATGAACTGAGAAGTTTATATATTTTTTGGAATGACCCAATGATTATGTCAAATCTAAACCTAGCAAAGTGCACTAGGAACTTAATCTTGTGTTTGGGTTTGCAAATATTTCATGCCTGAACAAGAATTGATGGTGTCAGTCTACTGGTGTAATGTTCAGGAAATATCTTGTTTCATTACAGGGTTGTCAAGTCAATGACGGTACAAATTTGATGACTTTAATAATAAGATACAGTCCAATACCATTGGTTCCTGTTGTGACTGAGGTCTATAAATATTAATTGGAAACAGCACAGCTGCTAAATCAATCAACTTGGCCCAACACAACAAACCTACTGTACCCACAAGTATTAGGGGAATATATGCATGCAATGACCAAAAATATCAATATAAATTATGTAATCTAATATTATTAAAACTATTAACACAGTAACACTGCATGGATTTGGTATAATGGTATATTAGATTGAGGTTTGGTTGTGGTTAACCAAAATAAATTTAATAAAATATAGTGATAGGAAAATATATAAATCTCTAACAAACCACAATCACATGCACGCACAATAGTTGCATGAGTGCATGTGTGATACATATTATTAAGACATATCACATGATCATGATAACATGCAGAATCTAGCATTTATATATCTATAGTATTTAAAAACACATAGCTGAATTATATAACATATAACACAATTGCCTACAATAGTTGAGTGGACCATTTAATATATATCATGATACTGTGATACATATTGAGGACATATCATACCATATTAACAAGCTTAATTTCGTTGGTAGGGATGGTACTGTAGCGCTACCTGAAAATATAAGAAGAATTTCGACGTTTCAAGCGAAGCGCACTTCGTCTGGATTTTCCAGGTAGTTGCATCCCTACCAACGAAAGTATGTTAATATTACTGGCACTACCTACACTGGCACAGACAGTTCAAGTTATATCACACCATAGCAGAGGCTGCAGAGCTGAACTAGCATGCACGGTGCACCGACGTCTCTGTTTCATGATAACAGAATCAGGCATTATATCTATAGTATTTCAAGATACATAGCTGAATCATATAACACAATTGCCTACATATCAAACAAAAGCAAAATATCTACCAAATTTTGTAACTAACAGGATAGAAATAAAATATACAGGGATATAAACTCCTACCTTTATACAGCCAGCCATGTTGAATGTTGATCAGCTGCTCAAGGTCAATGTCAAATAATGTGGCGGGTATTGGCGGGTATAAAGTCCGCTCTTTGCATTTGGCACTCATGTAGACCATGTACTTTGGAGGATTAAAAACAGAAATCCTGCGTGAGTATTTTTTTATATGGTATCACATGGACGATTCATGTAGAGTCGTTATGTAGACTTATTTATGTATTTGATATGATATCTGTTTTAATAACTTTTCGAGTAACGTTTTCAGTAGTATCAGTACTGTAACGCTCTCAAAGAGCAGGAAATATGGTCCTTAATTAATTGACCCGGCGTGACCCCTAATTTTCAAAATTTTCCTGCGTGCATGAATATTCAGACCGAACCTAGTAAACCTACAAAACAAAAGTACTTTCTCAAAATGGATTTGATTGTCTTACACACTGTAGACTAATATTGGAATGGACTATTTCTTATATACAGGGTGTCCAAAAAAGTGAAATTTATAGTGTCACTTTTTGGGGGGACACGCTATATTAAAATATATATATATATATATATATATATATATATATATATATATATATATATATATATATATATATATATATATATATATATATATATATATATA